CCTGACAGACATGCCTCAGGGAGGTGATGAAGGTCAACATTAACAGTCATAGACCGGGGCACCTGGGTGGCTTAGTCAGTTAAGCGTCCGACTTTCGCTTAGGTCATGATCTCGCGGTTCGTGGGTTCGAGCCCCGCGTCGGGCTCTGTGCTGACTGCCAGCTCAGAGCCTGGAGCCTATTTCAGAGTCTGTATCTCCCTCTCTCTCTGACCCTCCCCTGCTCACGCTGTCTCTCTCTCTCCTAGAAATATATAAAAAATATTAAAAAAAAAAAAGTCATAGATCATGTTGTCTGTATGTACCTAGATGTGATGTGATGAGAGAGGCACTTAAACTCTGCAATCTTCCTCCCCTAAACCCAACGCTTCAGTCCAATCATGAGAAAAAGAAACAGACAACTTTCAATAAAGGTTAATCCTATAGGATATGTGACCAGTACTCCTCAAAACCATCAAGATCATCAAAGCAAAGACAATCTGAGAAACTGTCACAGCCAAGGGGAGCCAAAGGAGCCATGACCACTACCTGTAATGTGTTGTTCTGGATAGGACCCTAGAACACAAAAAGGACAGTAGATAAAAACTAAGAATATCTGAATAAAATATAGTCCTTAGTTTATGGTAATGCTATAAATATTGGTTCACTAATTGTGACAAATGTATCAGACTGATGTAAGATAAGAGAGGAACTTGGGTGTGGATCATATGGGGACTCTCAGTACTATCTTCTCAAATATTTCTGTAAATCTAAAGCCTATTTCTTTAATTCAGCCATAAGTTACAGCATAAATTACATAAGAAATACAACTTACCAGATGTCACCTTTTCTTCTTCAGTTCTAGGAGTCCACAAAGGATATGGTGGCTGTTTCTTTGCTGTCATATAGCTATGTGAAACCAGCTGGGGTATAGAGCCCTTTGTGACCACAGTTACAAGCCGAACTCACCCAAGAAGAAGTGAAACTGATTTGCCATTTGAGGGTTATTTATGACAATCTCCTCCTTCAGAAATTGATTCATTCTATTTTCCCTTTTCATTTAAACTTAAATTGTGTGTAAATTGGGGAGTCTTACAATTCTTCTCCTCCCTATTCCTACAAGCAGGCAGATATTAGTCATTTTTTACCTTTCCAAATAAATTTCAGCATCCACCTGCAGCATCCTTTCTTTGAGGAAGAAACTTATTCTAATGGCTCTAACTTACTTGAATAGTTAGAAAAAAAAAAATGCCCCGGTTCGAAGAGAGACAATGCACTCATTCCCACATCCCCAAATACAAAGACAACTGGGCAAGATGGATGACATGAGATGGTAAAGATAAACTGACTCTTGATCACAAAGACTCGAAACTCACCAAAACCCAAACAACATTAGACTGTTTGATTGTAGGAATGAATGTCATACAGTTTTGTTTTTTTAATTTTAAAAAAATGTTTGTTTATTTTTGAGAAACAGAAACAGAGTGCAAGCAGGAGGAGAGGTAGAGAGAGGGGAGACACAGGATCTGAAGCAGGCTCCAGGCTTTGAGCTGTCAGCACAGAGCCCAACATGGGGCTCAAACTCACGAACCACAAGATCATGACCTCAGCCAAAGTTAGCTGCTCAACCACCTGAGCCACCCAGGGACCCTGTCATACAGTTTTAAAGAGCTCTTTCTGGAACTTAATTTTACACTCATATTTTTTTTACCAGAAAAAAACAAATATTTTCAAAATTCTGTCCAATGAACAAGAAAGTAGAACCTACTCTACTTTGCTATGTTTGGCAACTCAAACAGTCACATCAAGTATAGCGGAAAAGCAATTTTTTTTTGAAAAGCAATTTTTTGACCTTCAGCTTCAGGTTATGTTTGACCTTCAAAGGCAGACTGAGTCATTACCAGGATAGTTCTCAGTAACTGTAGGTATTTTTTTATTCCAAAGTGGGGATTCAGAAAGCAAAGAGGTAAAAAAGAATTATAAATAAATATTTAGACTGTGATCTCAAAAATTGCTTTGAACTTTTAGTAAGATGATATGCCTCATCCATAATAAAACCATAGAAATACCAGTATAAAGTTCAAAGCAAAGAAAATCAACCTGACTATCATTATTAGTGTTAGATATTTACTTCTCTTTCTGGGCAAAAATCACACCTTAATCTTCTGTTCATGTCACATATGCTTAGCTCTCCCCCTACTGGCTGTTTCTTTGCTTCAACAGTTAACCGTATTCGAAATCAGAGGTACTACTAAAATACCAAATAACTAAAATTAATTTTGATCATTTTTAAAGCTGCTTTGGGGTTCTTTATGGTGCTCCTTGATACCTGTATTGGACACCTGAATGCTAGGTCTGTTAAGAGTGTGGGGTAACTAGCAGGCTGCATTTTCATTGAATTCACCGTAAACACTGAAGCAATTGAAAGAAAACTTCCATCAGAATCTGCACTCAGGTGCTGTGCCTTCCAGCCTGTTTTAGATGAACTATCCCTGCACCCATCAAAAGGGAATCCCTTCTCCTGTGCACCAGATTCCATCCCTTCTCTCCAACTGCAGGACTAGGAAGAATACTTCCCTCTTGTACTTCATTAACTTTTCACTCTCCATTGGATTATTCCCACTGGCATAAAAACCAGATGTCATTTATTATTTTAATAAACATTTCGTTTGACACCATTTTCTCATCCAGTTACTACCCCATTTCTCTGTACTTCTTGAGGGCAAAATCTCTCAGGAGTTGTCTAAACCCACTCTCTCAAATTCCTCCCCTCTCAATCTATCATAAACTTTCTATACCCAATCCTTTACAATGGTTTCATAAAACTGTTCTTGTCAGTCTCCATTCATCTTAGTCAATTTTCGACTCTCATCTGACTTGAACCTTCAGCAGCCTTTGACTCAGTAGATCACTCCCTCCTCAACACACTTTGGCTGGTTTTCCAGGTAACTGCAACTCTCCTAATCGTCGTCGTCGTCGTCTTCTTCTTCTTAAATTTTCTTAACGTTTTATTTATTTCTGAGAGACAGCATGAGCAGGGGAGGGTCAGACAGAGAGGGAGACACAGAATCTGAAGCGGGCTCCAGGCTCCGAGCTGTCAGCACAGAGCCCGATGGGGGGCTTGAACCCACAAACTGTGAGTTCATGACCTGAGCTAAAGTCAGCTGCTTAACTGACTGAGCCACCCAGGCGCCCCTCTCCTAGTTTTCTTCTAAACTCTCTGGGGGCACCACCTTGAAGAGCCAAAAATTAAGTCCTCCATTAAGAGCAACCTCAGGCTGCACGGAGCCCCAGTCCCAGTCCCAGTTCCAGGAAAAGCCTCAGACTGTTCAAGGCTAAAGCCATCCTCAGATCGCCCTCAGATCAGCTAATCAAAAAACATTCCTATGGTCTGAGTCAAGGCTGGGAACTGCAGGTACAAACTAGCCAATTTCTCACCACTTGCCTGAACCCCACATGGGCCCTTTGAGCTCACCTCATAATTGGTCATTTTCGAAGGATTCTCAAAAGTCATGATTGGGTCCCGCCAAAAGTAATGAACACCTCACAGATACTGAATGGTCAAAGCTGTTACCACGGGTGCTGTACAATTGTAATTGGTGCTTATGTGATGATGCTATGTGTACTGTAACACCCCCATCCCTTACTCCCTAAAAACCCTATTCGCTATTGTTCTTCGCTTCACCTTGGTGCCACGACACCGGTAGGCTGGTGAGCCCCTGCTTGAGCTTGAAATAAAGACCCTTTTGTATTTGCATCGGTGCTGGCTCCTTGGAGGTCTCTGGGACTCGCGATTCGGGCACAACCACCTCAGCTTCCTTTGCTGGTTATTCCTCTTCTCCTCAACCTGCTAGGATTAGAATGCCCCAAAGCTTTGTCTTCAGTCTTCTCTTTCTTTTCTACACTCCCCTTATTTCATAGCTTTGAATCTCACCTATATATCTGTAACTCTCAATTGGCATGTACAGCCTGATCCCTTTTCATGCCTTACTGCTCACTAGGCATCCCGAATACAACATTTCCAGTTGACCTCCTTACATCCCACTCAAAACCCCACTCTGCCTACAGGCTTCTCCATTTCAGCTAATGGCAATTTCCAGTTCCAGTCCCTTGATCCAAAAGCTTGATGTTGATGTCTTTCTCTCATACCCCATATCTGGTCTGTCGGGAAATCTTGTTGAAATCTCCAAAATATTTTGAGAATCTGAACACTTCTCATCACCTCCACAGTTTATCGCCACCCTCCTCCATTCAAGTTATAAACATTTCTGGCCTCCTTCAGTAGTTCCCAAACTTTGCTGCATATTGGAATCACCCAGGGATCTTTAAAACATGACTGGCTCCCACCCGTTTGATATTTTTTATTTAATTGGTATCGGATGCGATTTGGGCCCTGGGATATTTCACTACTCTCTAGGTGATTCTAATATGCAGCCAAGTTTGGGAATCTCCAGTGTAGATATGATAATAGCCACCAGGCTCTGAATTTATTTTACACCACACTAAATGAGGATGAGCGGGCTCATCCTCCCACTGTCTCCCACTGAGGTTTCCGCCCACCCTTCCTGGAGGAGGCAGACCCTGGGCTCCTGTACCCTTATTTAGAGGCATCCCCATCCACACTCTCATTTTCCTGTGATCTATGCAAAAGACACCAAGTGACTGCCAAAAAAGAAGAGAGTAAGGGTAGGTTAGTTTAAAAAACACAAGAGATAAAACGTAGCCTCTATAAATAAGCCTGGCGTGGCCTCTGTACATAAGCACTGTCGAGTCGCTCCACTGCGCAGGTCGAACTTTCTAGTGTCCGTGCGCTCCTCGGCCTTTAAACAATCGCATCCTACAGCCTTTAGATCCCAGGCAGGGACCAGTTGGGCTGCAGGTTTTCTCCGCCTCCTGCAGCTGCGCGAGCCGCCGCTGAGGGGCGGGGCGGGCCTCTGAGCGCGCCGTCTTCTGGGTACAGCTTTACGATACATTGACCGTCGTTTTACGACAGGCTGGGATTGCTTTGTGGCTGTCAACTTTCCCTGAGGTCCGAGTTGGTAGCCACGGTGTGTGTGGTAGCGGCTGGTACGACCGCGGAGAAATGAGGCAGAAGCGGAAAGGTGCGGAAGGGAGGGAGAAGTGGAGGGGTCCTGCGGTGTGGGAGGGAAGGGGCGAACACCTTGGCGGTCAGGTGCTGAAAGCAGTTTTTCTCTCTGCCTGAGCCAGTCGCTTGCCACCTTAGAGTCAGTCTGTGTCGCCTCCAGCCTCCTGTTCTCTCGTTTTACACATGGTGCATTTTAAGCCAGACTACGCTTACTGTCTTTTTGGCAGTCCGTTGGTGTCGTTTGCATAGATGGCAGGAAAAGCTTTATTCCAAGGTTTGCCTTAGAAGGAGTCAACGTGGTTGGTTGTTTTAACTTGCTGTCGGGTCTCTTAATTTGCTAAGATTTTATGGTACGTTTAACCTATTGTTCTAAGACCTAAGTTTATAAAAAGAAAAGAAAAGAAAAGCTCTTGAGTCCTTGGTTGTCTGTGGGGAAGTTACACAGTTATTCCCGATTTATATTACCTCCTAAATTGGCATGGAGCGATTCCGTCTTTCGTTTTCAACAGGATGGAGTCAGATTTCAGGTGTTTTCTCACAAGTTCTAAACTTTTCTCTCTATACCCATTTGAGCAGCCTAATAATGATTGGTGGTTATCATAGTAAAAGCTATTTATTGAGCCTTTGCTAATAATTCTGAAGTTGGCGTCATTTCCATTTTACAGATGAAGATACTGAGATTCTGAGCTCGGCAACTTTCGCTGCCCAGAATTACACATAGGAACTGGAACTGATGGTCAGGCTGTCTGTGTGCACCCAAAAACCCACAGGAAAAGAAAATTCCTTTAATCACTGTGGCTCTGGGCATCAACACCCATTTATTGGAATAACAGTTCCAAATGTCCAGGTTACCTTCAGTTGTCTTGTGGCATCAAACTACATGTCCTAGATCTTCTCCCTCTGCCTTGCTCCTGTGTCTGTTCGGCCAGACCGCTTTACGCTCTTCACCTGTCGCTAAGTCCAGCCTCTTGAAATAATTTATTACTCATCATTTTGGCCATCATCCTCATCAATAGCCAGTAACTGACTAGTACTTTGGCTTTCCTATAATGTTATTTCAGTTGACTCATAATAGTCTTGTCAAATGTGTATGTATTATCCCAATTTTGCAGGCAAGGAAATGGGAATACAGAAGTCGTTGATCTTCTCATTATCACATAGGTGTTGGGTGCTAGGAACACACAGGAATCTATTGTCCAAGTGTTTTTACTTTAAATCTTGTGAGTTATTTTTTCATTGTTGCCTTTCAAGACCCTTTTACTTAATATGTATTCTTTTCACCTTCTGAATCATTTTTGTATCATTTTCTTTGTGGGTTTTTTTTGCATATTTACTTTTTAAACACTACTTTCATCTTTTTACTCCCAAACTGGAGAATCTGTAATTCTCCAGTCCATTTAAATGCCTTGCCTACTAGTCAGCGTACCCTGTACCCTGTACTATATTTTTTAATTGAACTTTGTCAGAAACCCTGTATTCTAGTTAGGCAATAGTCCTTCACACAAAGATAGGTAATTCCTATACCTGGCATTTTTCCTTCTGGATGGCCCCCTGTTTTGCTTGTCCACTCCTGCCCTTTCTTCAGAGACCCCCATGCCATATCTCCCATAAAGCCTTTCCTTATTAATTTACTCTCTAGTTAATTTTTGATATACTCAAGAGCTATACAAATGGTTTTCAAAATCTTTATCTATTTTTATCTCTTGGATTCTCTTTTCCTCTTCAAATAAATTATTACATAGTGTTTCAATATATTAAACAGGTGAAAGCCGAGGTGCTTTGGTTTAATGAAGAAAGAAGCCCTCTCTTTCCTTCTTCTCCCCGCCCCCATCACCATCATCAATCTTACCTCTATTACATGTCCTTGAAGTGCCTTTTTGGAACTTTGGAGTGCTGAATTACGTGGTTTGGAAAGCATTTAGCCTTTGATTGTACATGGACTTTTTTCCTCTCACATTGTGTTAGCTTTGCTTCATTAAATTAGAGGCAGCTTGGTACAGTGAAAAAAGTGTGGAAGTTGTGGAGAAAACACCTGGATTTGAGTCTTAACTATGCCATTTACAATGACGTCTTAACTTCCCTTAATTTTTAACATCTGCAAAAAGGGCTAACAATATCTATAGTGTTGTGTGGTTTCAAATGAGATAAAATAAATGAAAGGGCTCCAAAATGCCAGGGCTTTCTCATCTATACTTTTCTTGATGACACCATCATCTTTGCACACTAACTTTCTCTACAGGCTGGTATGCTTGCTGGCAGTTGCCCGCAACCTCACAGCTTTTATCACTGGAGAGAGACTGGCATTTTTTTGCCTTGAGGAAAGAGCTCAGATTTGCCTTACTTGGATAGGTGCCTGTCCTTGCACCAATCAACTGTAATTGGGATGGGGTCAAGTAAGAACATGTCAGGGGTGCCTGGGCAGCTCAGTCAGTTGAGCATCCACCTTCGGCTCAGGTCATGATCTCATGGTTTATGAGTTCGAACCTTGCGTTGGGCTCTTTGCTGACAACTTAGAGCCTGGAGCCTCCTTCAGATTCTGTGTCTCCCCCTCTCTCTGCCCCTCCTCCACCGTGCTCTGTCTCTCAATAATAAAAACACTTTAAAAATTTAAAAAAAAGAACATATCAGCTTCTGCTATTGCCTTTCAGATGAGAACAGAAGCCTCAGTTGCTAGAAGGTCATGATGGTGAACAGACTATACCTTAGAGATACATTGAGATCCCTGTACAAGTATAGAATCAACATCCTTTGTATTACAAAGTAGTATTGCATTGCTTTATAATATTACTTCTGTGGATACCTAGGTTTGAGTTTCACTGTTACCCCTTGGTAGCATTTTCACAAAACAAGCGAATATTCCTGTTCTATCTACTGCAGTCTATTCTGAGAGTAAGATGAAGTCATGCATCCAAAGGTAATTATAATTCTGGAGATAAAGGGAAGCTATTTTGGCCACTTTGGTGCTTTCTTGTGCAGTTAGGTTCTGTTATTTTTATAGTATATGTGCTCCTAGAGTGAGTTCTTCCCATATATAGGGGAAGCCACATTTGTTTTAATTAAAGATAAAAAGATGTGATCAAACTTTGAACAGTAGAGGTTGGTGTCTTATAAACTTGACCTATTCATCTGGGATGGTTGGGAAAATATTGGAAGGAAAAAATAATTACAAAACTCTTTACCAAATAGTATGATTTTTAACATTGTGAAATATTTTTCCAGGAGATCTCAGCCCTGCTGAGTTAATGATGCTGACCATAGGAGACGTTATTAAACAACTAATTGAAGCCCACGAACAGGGGAAAGACATCGATCTAAATAAGTAAGTGGATTTATAAAAAGAAAAAAAGAAGGCAATCCTATTCTTAGGTGTAGACCTTTTTAATGAAATTATCAAATACTACTTGTTTTATGTCTCATGTTTTAGTTTTTAGTTGAGAATTTAGCTTTCTGCCCTTCCCTGTCACTTATTTATGGCAAAATTCTCTCATAGCCTAATAATAATACTAATAGCTTCTAATATTTATTGGGTGCTTACTGTGTTCCAATCACTGTTAGTGGTTCATTGTCTGTATTAACTCAGTCCTCTCAAACACTGCGTGAGGTAGGTACTTACATCACCTTCATTTGACAGAGGTGTAATCTGAGACAGAGAAAGGTAAAATAATTTGTCTGAAAGTAAAGAACTAGTAGTCAGCAGAGCTGGAATTTGGAATTAGATCGTCTGTCTCCAGAGCCCTTGTTATCTCCTGTGCTACATTACTTTACATCCTTGTTTCCTTCCTACTGTCTCAGAAGAAGCAGCAGCTTCATGAGGTCCATGGTCTTTCCCTACTTTACAGCCTCTTCGACATGTTCATCTGTTTCTTTCCACAGTCACATTCAGTGGTGACTTTGCTACATCCTCAAATCAGAGTACACTTTCATCTCTGCATCTTTTTTTATTTCATTAGATATTCACTATATAGATCTGCTCTAATGAAAGGGTTTTCTCCCCACTCAGGTGGCTTGTCACTGATATAATCACCACACATGGCCTTTTTTAAAAGACTGTTTTCTGTTACTTGAGATACTTCGGTGTTTTTTACTTCCCTGGAATATTGCACTTAAGAAACTTTTGCTAAAGGAGTGAATAAGTAACCATCCTTTCTTTGTTTAGAAGTTTCTTTTCTATAATTGGCTATCCCCCAATTATACAAGTCTTTTATTTTCAATGAACATTTCTACTTTTTGTATATTTTTGTCAGTTTCTTTAATTTAGCACACCTAAAGTTAATGCTAACATCTTCCATAAAACCAGTCCCTACGCAGATATCCTCTTTGCTTAATTATGTTAACTTTCACCCAGGCTTGAAACTCTAGTCTCCTCTTCATACTGTTTTTGTTAGTTCCAGTTAGGAATTAATTTTGCTTACTCTTTCTTCATCATGACTCTCTCTTTCGTTTCCACTACCAACTCCTTAACCATACCTTTTTAAACTTAATTCTAGACTACTGCAATAGCCAATACTTTCAGGCTCTTTTTATCCCTTACTAGGTTAATTGTTGCTTGTTTCATGTTTTATCATGTCATTTCCCTATACAGAAACTTTCAGCATGTCCCCAGTGTTTATGGAATTAAATGCAGATTCCTCAGCCCATTATATAAATTCTCTCCATCTGGCTTCAACTATCCCAACTTTTTAAATTTCTGTACCTTTACACTGAAAATCTGCTTTCTGTCAGATCTACCCATATTTTAGAATATGTACATCCCTGCTTCACATAAACCCACCTATTTGCTCTCAGTGGCATCCCTCCGTGTCTTTACTGCCTGTCTAAAGCTAACTCTTTCTGTGGCTGTTTTCCATGACTGTCTCCCCAGCACACATTGGGTTCCTCTCTTGAGGTTTGGACATACTCATTGTTGTATGTGTGTTGTATCACACGGGTTTTTATCACTTGCCCACTTATTTTTGTGCATGCCTGTCTGCCAACATCCAAACACAGGGCATGACACAACTATGCCTTATACTTCCTGGCACACCAAGTACTTAGGTTCTCTCTGCCCATCAGGTACTGGGTTAACATTTCTTGAAAATGATGCAAACACCTCACAATAGTTTTAGATGAACTAAAATGAGCAATTAAGGTGACTGTTAGTGGTTGCTAGCAGCAAAGAAACAAGAAACCGATACAATTGTAGGAAAAAACAAAGAATTATTAGTTGTACTAAAGGTTATTTTTAAGGATTAGGGATAGAGTTACAATCAGGAAGGGATAAAGGGGTCCTCTGAAGTCCTGATCATCTTCTGTTTCATGGAGTGTCATAACAAGAGTTTGCCTCATAAATGTTATTGTATATTTGTATGTTTAATGTTCTGTTGCTTATATATATAATGTTTTAGAATACGTTCTAAAACATTTTTAAAAATATATACTTTTTGGTTCTGCATACGTTTCCTTTAAATTGTTTTTTTTTTTTTTAATTTTTTTTTAATATTTTTATTTATTTCTAGGAGAGAGAGAGAGAGAGAGAGAGAGAGACAGCGTGAGCTGGGGAGGGTCAGAGAGAGAGGGTGTCACAGACCGAAACAGGCTCCAGGCTCTGAGCTGGCAGTCAGCACAGAGCCCGACGCGGGGCCCGAACCCACAAATCGCGAGATCATGACCCAAGCGAAAGTCGGACGCTTAACCGACTAAGCCACCCAGGCGCCCCCCCTTTAAATTGTTTTTTGATTGTTTTTATTTTTGGTCTAAGACCATGGCTTACAACCAGGCATCCCCCCCCCAACACACACACACTGGCCCCAGAGGCCAGTGATGCTGCTAAACATCCTACAGTGTAATGAACAGTCCCTCACAACAAAATTAATGTGATCCCAGATGCTGTCGTGTTAAGGTTGAAAAAAGGGTAGAATCCTATGAAGCTGGAGCACTAATTTGAATGAGACCTACTTCAGGTCACTATCCTGGGACCCTTCCTATAGTCATCTTATTTTCTTTCTAGTACTCCAGGGTAAAAAGAAGTCATTGATGCATTTTCCTGATTTTCTTCTATTTTCCTGTTATTCAACCAATGTTAAAGCCACCTTGTCACCTGGTGAAAGGATAGGGGAGTGACAGGAGTTGATGGTGTTATTTATAGTTCATTGTTTTGGTGGCTTGTCTTGAAATACTATGATCTTGATAATGCTGGATGCTTTACTTTCAGGGTGAAAACCAGGACAGCTGCTAAATACGGACTTTCAGCACAGCCCCGCCTGGTGGATATCATCGCCGCAGTCCCACCTCAGTATCGAAAGGTTTTGGTCCCCAAGTTAAAGGCAAAACCCATCAGAACTGCCAGTGGGGTGAGTGATTTGATTCACGAAACCTTGGTTGTGTATCTGCTCTTTCAGGAATCCTTGCGTCTGTGTAACACCCAGTTAGTGAGGTGGAAATGAGGGATTCAGTTTAATAAAATTCATATATTATAATAAGTGTGGCAGTAGAGGCCTGTGCAGAATGTTATGAGGGCATAGTGAGGAAAAACATTTATTGTGCTTAAAGGAATAGATGATATTTTGATGTCCTTAAAAGTATAAATTGAGGCTTGGTGACTATCACAATATGATAAATATTATTGGCCATTTTAAGCTCATGTCTTTCAATACAATAGATATTTGTAAAAGTTACTATTAAAAGGTAGTTAATGAAGGCACCTGCTTTGGAGTCTGTTCTGACAGCGTGGAACATGCTTGGAATTCTCTCTTTCCTTCTCTCTTTGTCCCTCCCGTGCTCATGCTATCTCTCTCTCTCTAAATATAAATAAATAAAGTTTTAAAAATAATATAAAAGGTAGTTAATGGTGCAAAGTCATTCTGTATATGTATTTGTGAAGCAACTGACGTAATCGGGAGCTCTGTGGAAGTCCAGAGGGAAAGGTGGCCCTGCAGTGAAAGAGACTAAGGAAAGCCCAGTGGAAAGCATGGCATTTGCTTGATGTATAAATGGTGCTCCTATAAACGGAGAAAGGCAGGCTTAAGTAATGGGAGCAAGGGCACAGGAAACTGACGCACAGTGGTAGAGATGTTATAAGACATATAGTATGTGCAGGGAACAGTGGGTGCCTCAGACTGACCAGAGTCGATAATTCATTTGAGAAAGCAGCAGGACCTTAGGTTGAAGAGTTAGTTTGGGATCAACTCATAAAAGAGCCTAAACATCCTGCAAAGAAGCTGGATAGTAAGAAACTGTTAAAGATATTTGAGAGTGATACATGAACAAAACATTATCAGAAAATTAATTTGTATATAAAATGTAGAGTAGCTTGGGGCTAAAAAGACCAGTTAAGATACTCTTGGTTTAATCTACGTGTGAAATGTGTTAAGAGCTGGAATTAGGGTAGGTGCTCTAAGATAAAAAGAATGAGAGTGAAAAATAGGATTTGGACCTTCTTAAAACTTGGTACTCAGAATTGAATTGTGGGTTCCTGATATGATCATAGAACTTCAGTCTAATATTTGAGTGGGAGATTTATACCTGTAGTAGTTACAGCCTATGTTGACTTATTTGGTGGCCATATCTCCTGGATTGTATTATATTTGTGGCCAATTAAATCCTAAAACTTTATACATAATGTATCACCAATCCTGGTCTCTTCTCCTTTCTACTTATTTAATAAAACTCCTTTGTTTTTGTTTTATTCATTTGTACCTGGTGTAAAAGCTTCTTTAAGAGAAACTAATATAGGGGTGCTTGGGTGGCTCAGTCAGTTAAGCGTTCGACTTCAGCTTCAGTCATGATCTCACGGTTTGTAGGTTCGAGCCCCATGTCGGTCTCTGTGTTGTCGGCTAGCTCAGAGCCCAGAGCCTGTTTCAGATTCTGTGTGTCTCTCTCTTTGACCCTCCCCTGCTCATGCTGTCTCTCTCTCTCTCAGAAATAAATAAAACATTAAAAAAATAATAAAAAAAGAGAAACTAATATAGTTGAACAATATGGGTTTGAATTGCATGAGTCCACTTACAGGCAGTTTTTTTCCAATGTATACAGTACTATAAGTGCATTTTCTTTATGGTTTTCTTGATATTCCTTTTTTCTAGTTTACTTTATTTTAAATATATAGTATATAATAACTAATATACAAAATATGTATTAATATATACACTAATATATGTTAGTATACCGTATACTAATGGTAGTTTCTTTTACCAGTAAGGCTTCTAATCAACAGTAGGTTATTCAAGTAGTTAAATAAACGACAACCTGCTGAATGGGGAGAAAATATTTACAATCCATTCAAAATGGATTAAAGACCTAAATGTGAGACCTGAAACCATAAAAACCCTAGAAGAGAACACAGCCAGCAACTTCTTTGACATTGGCCATAGCAATTTTTTTCTAGTCTTCTGAGGCAAGGAAAACAAAAGCAAAAATAACTGTTGTGGCTACATCAAAATTAAAACCTTCTGCACGTGAGAAAAAAGTCAACAAAACTGAAAGGCAGTCTGCTAAATGGGAGATTTTTGCAAATGACATATCTGATAGAGGGTTAATATCCAAAATATATGTAGAACTGATACAATTCAACACCCCAAAAATGAATAATCCAATTAAAAATGGGCAGAAGACATGAACAGACATTTCTCTAAAGAAGACATCCAGGGGTGCCTGGGTAGCTCAGTTGGTTAAGAAGACATCCAGATGGCCAACGGCACATGAAAGGATGCTCATCATCACTGATTAGGGAAATGCAAATCAAAACCACAATGAGTTATCTCCTCACACCAGCTAGAATGGCTAAAATCAGCAGCACAAAAAGCACCAGGTGTTGGCAAGGATGTGGAGAAAAACCCTCTTGTACTGCTAGTGGAAATACAAACTGGTGCAACCACCATGGGAAATAGTATGGAGATTCCTTAAAAATTCAAAAATAGAACTACCCTATGATCCAGAAATCACACTACTGGGTATTTACCCAAAGAATACAAAAATACTAATTCAGAGGGGTACATGTACCCCTGTGTTTATTGCAGCATTATTTACAATAGCCAAATTATGAAAACAGCCTAGGTGTCCATCGACTAATGAATGGATAGAGGTGTGTGTGTGTGTGTGTGTGTGTGTGTGTGTGTGTACGTACGTACGTACGTGTATGTACACTGGAATATTATTCAGCCGTAAAAAATGAGAAATCTTGCCATTTGTAACAACATAGATGGAGCTGGAGAGTATGATGCTAAGTGAAATAAGACAGAGAAAGACAAATACCATATCATTTCATACGTGGAATTTAAGAAACAAATGAACAAAGGGAAAAAGAGATGCAAATGAAGAAACTAACTTAAAGTATATAGTACAAACTGACTGTTACTGGAGGGAAGGGTTTGGAGGCATGAGTTAAACAGGTGATGAGGATTAAGGAGTGCGTTTGTGATGTGTGCCAGATGATGTATAGAATTGTTGAATCCCTATATTGTACACCTGAAACTAATACAGCACTAGATGTTAACTAACTGGAATTATAATAAAAACTTAAAAAAAATTAAAGATATCAGAAGTACATACACAGCTGATTGTCATTCCCTGTCTGCTACAAATCTTAACCTTCATGCTTTTTAAAAAAATTTTTTTAATGTTTTATTTATTTTTGAGAGAGAAATAGAGACAGTGTGAACAGGGGAGGGTCAGAGAGAGAGGGAGACACAGAATCCAAAACAGGCTCCAGGCGCTGAGCTAGCTGTCAGCACAGAGCCTGATGCAGGGCTCGAACCCACAAACCGTGGGATCATGACCTGAGCTGAAGTCGGAAGCTCAACCGACTGAGCCACCCAGGTGCCTCTTAACCTTCATGCTTTTATTCCTGCTGTTACTCTGGTGGTGCTTTGTTTTTACTCCTTTTAACAGAGCAGTTTTAGGTTTACCTAAAAATTGATCAGAAAGTACACAGCGTTCATATATACTTTCTTTCCTCCCGCCCCAGGTTCCCCTTGTGTTGGTTTGGTATATTTGTTATAATTGATAAACCAGTATTGGTACCTTATTTTTAAGTGAAGCCTATAGTTTATATTAGGGTGACTTACAGTGGTATGTATTCTTTGGGTTTTAGAAAATGCATAATGTCATGTATCCACCATTACCAGATCATGTAGAATATTTCCCCTGCCCTAAACTCCCCTATTCATCCTTTCCTTTGTTCCAGACTTCTGGCAATCACTGATCTACTTACTGTCTGTATAGTTTGACCTTTTCCATAATGTCATGTAGTTGGAATTAAACAGTATGCATAGCCTTTTCAGATTGGCTTCATTCACTTAGCATTATGCATTTAAAGCTATGCCATGTCTTTTTAGTGGCTTGATACAGCTCATTTCATTTTAGAACTAGACAATATTCCACCATCTGAATGTACCACAGTTTATCCATTTTCCTATTGAAGGACATCTGGGTTACTTCTAAATTTTGCCAGTTAGGAACAAAGCTGCTGTAAACATTGTATGAAGGGTTTTGTGTACACATAAGTTTGCTACTCATTTGGGTAAATACCTAGAAGCATGATTGCTGGATCATACAGTAAGATTAGGTTTAGCTTTGTAAAATTGCCAAACTGCCTTCTGAAGTGGCTGTACCATTTTGCATTCCTGTCAACAATGAGAATCCCTGTTGCTCCACATGCTTGCCAGCATTTGGTACTGTCAGTGTTCTGGATTTTGGCCATTCTGATAGGTGTATAGCAGGGTTTCATTTTAGTTTGCAATCCTCAAATGACATATATTGAGTATCTTTCATATTCTCATTTGTCATTAGTGTATCTGATTTGATGAGGTGTCTGTTTGGATCTATTGCCCTATTCCTATTGGGTTGTTTTTCTTATTCTAAAATTGTAAGCATTCTTTGTATATTTATGATACATATCTTTTATCAGACATGTGTTTTGCAAATGTTTTCTCTGAGTCTGTGTCTTTTCATTCTCTCAGAACAGAACTTTCAAATTTTAATGTAGTCCATCTTACTAGTTTTTTCTCTCATGGATCTTTCTTTTGGTGTTGATCTAAAAATTCATTGCAAAACCCAAGGTGGCCTAGATTTTCTGCTATGTTATCTTCTTGAAATTTTATAGTTTTGATTTTACATGTAGGTCTATGATCCATTTTGAGTTTATATTTGAGTTTTTGTTTTGCTTAGAATGCCATGATTCTTCTTAGTAGTATCAATATTAAATATAACAGTTACCATACATTGTCCACCTAATACATACTAACCACTGTGTTTCTAATTTAATCCTCAAAACTGGTAACTGGGGTAACTGGTTTTAAGAGGTAACGGGTATTGTCTACATTTTACTTAATAGGAAAGTACACAGTAAGGGGCAGAGAAAAGATTCAAACCTCTCTGAATCCAAAGTCGTTGCTTTTTCTACTTCACCAGTAATTTCTAAAGTCTATTCTACAAAACTAGAATTCCATAGAAGTCTTGAAGCTACTGGGGGCATAACAAGTAGTGAAGCTCATAGGAGCAGGTACTTCTCCGTTTCACTCAGGCCTGTGGCTTTTATCTCGTTTATAAACTGAGGTTTGAAGTAAAATGTTACTTGAAAGGAGAGTTCTATTGCTTAAACTGTTTGAAAACTACTGCACTTTGCTTCCCTGGCCCCACCTTACCCGGTCTTCTTGGCTTAATGAACCCTTAATCAGCATTTCGGGAAGACTTCCTGACTCCCCTGGTCAGGGCTAATTGCCTTCTTAGGCATTCCTGATATTTTCTATGTGCTTCTTACCATGTGGTATTGAAATAGTCTTTTTCTATATGTTCCTCACCTAGGTGGGTATGATTTCAGAGGACAGAAACAGTGCATTAATATTTTTGTAGTCTCAAGGCCCATTTGTTCTGTGTAGCTCAGAATCTGGCCAATACTGGGTCCTCAGTTGTTGAATTAGACTGACCTCGTTAGTAGCTCATATTAAATAAAAACATTTGTTTGAAAATCTAAGTTTTTCATTCAGAATTGCAAATTTTTTTGAAGTCTTGGTCTTTCTCTAGATCATTGTTTAGTGATTTAAGTTTTAATAATTGTTATTATGAAAAATAATCAAACTTAAAGAAAACTTGAAGATCCAGTGCAAAGAATATTTTCCCCCTGAACCACTTGAAGTACGTTGCAAAGTAAAGTTGGCTTTGAAAACTTTAGTGTGCATTTCCTACAAACAAGGACACCATCAAAATCAGGAATTTAGCACTGTTAAGTACTGTCATCTAATCCTCAGATCTTAATCAAGTTTCACCCACTGTTTCAATAATGACCTACAGAACCCAGTTCAGAATCACATGTTGCACTTGGTTGTCGTGTCTCTTCAGTCGGGGCACTTCCTGTCTTTCCTTGCCCTCATTACCTTGACACTTCTGAAGATTTCAGGCAGGTTATTTTGCAGCATGTTCCTCAATTTGGCTTAATCAAGTGTTATAATTAGATTCAGGCTATACAGGAACATCACAGAAGTGATAATGTATTCTTATTGTATCCTATCAGGTGGTATATATATATATTTTATATAATTTTATATAATTTTAATTTGTCCTGGCCTGTCATTGATAATGTTGTTTCTTTTCATTGAGGTAAAATTGCTATTGTAACATTTTTATTAAGATAAAATTGCTATATAACATTATATTAGCTTCAGGTGTATAAGATAATTTGATATTTGTATACACTACAATATAATCACCACAATAAGTTTAGTTACCATCCATCACCATACAGTTGACCCCTTCACCTATTTTGCCCCTCTTCCAACCTCCTCCTTCCTTGATAACCACCAGTCTTTTGTCTATATATATGAGTTTGGTTTGTTTACTTTTTTATATTCTACATGTAAGTGAAGTCATATGGCATTTGTCTGACTTATTTCATCTGCCATTTAATACCCTCAGGATCCATCCATGTGTCACAAATGGCAAGATTTCATTCTTTTATGAGTGTGCAGTATTGCACACTATATATATATATATCCTTTATCCACTCATCCATTGATAGATACTTAAGTTATAGCCATATCTTGACTATTGTAAACAATGTTGCAGTAAATTTAGGGGTGTGTATATCTTTTCATTTCATATTAGTATTTTCACTTTCTTAGGATAATACTCAGAAATGGAATAGCCAGATCATATAGTAGACCCGTTTTTAATTATAACCTCCGTAGGGTTTTCAGTAGTGGCTGCACCAATGTATATTCCCACCAGCAGTGCATGAAGGTTCCCTTTTGTCCACATCCTCATCAACACTTGTTATTTCTTGTTTTTTTCATAATAACTATTCTAATAGCAATATCTCATGGTTTTGATTTGCATTTCCCTGATAATTAGTAATGTTGAACATCTTTTCATGTACCCACTGGCCATTTGTATGTCTTTGGGAAAATGTCTATTTAATTCCTCTGCTCATTATTTAATCAGATTGGTTTTTGTATTGAGTTGAGTTTTTTAAATATATTTTGGATATTTGGATATTATTTAATATATTTGGATATATGACTTGCAAATATTTTCTCCCATTCAGTAGGTTGTCTTTTCCTTTTGTTGATGGTTTCCTTTTATTTGTGGTTTCCTTTGATGGTGCAGAAGCTTTTTAGTTTGGTTTAGTCCCACTTATTTGTTTTTGCGCTTTGTCACCTTTGCTTGTGGAGTCAGACTTAAAAATTCAATACCAAGACCAATGTCAAGGAGCTTCTGCTTGTGTTTTTTTGCTAGGAGTCTTATGGTTTCAGGTCTTACATTCAAGTCCATTTTGAGCTAATTTTTGTGTATCATGTAAGATAGTGATCTAGTTTCATTCTTTTGCATGTGGATGTCCAGTTTTCCCAGCACCATTTATTGAAAAGATTGTCCTTTCTCCATTGTATATTCTTGGCTCCTTTGTTGCAAATTAATTTAGCAGGTATGAGGGGTTTATTTCCAGGCTCCCTGTTCTTTTGATCTGTGTGTCTGTTTTTATGCCAATATCATCATATTGTGTAGTGTAGTTTGAAATCAGGGAGTGTGATACCTCCATCTTTGTTCTTCTTTCTGATATTGTTCATTTTGATCAAGGTAGTGTCTACCAGGCTTCTCCTCTGTAAAGTTCATCTTTTCCACTTTGTAATTAAGAAGTTTTGTGTGGTGAAGTACTTGGAAGCTATGTAAGTTTTCCATTCTTCATCAGATTTTCAGTTTACTCATTCATTTACTTGCATGAGTGGATTAGTGGTTTCCTATTTGGTGGGTTATAATCTGTTAGTATCATTATTTATTTTGGTGTACAAATGATCACTGATTTGACCAGTGAGAGCCCTTTTAGGCTGGTCTCTGTGTCTTTTTAAATTTCTCCATCATTCTTTGAGCAGTTTCTAGCTTTCTGTCATAATAAAATATTTCAGATTCATTTGTCCTTTCTTTGCCCCAGGCCTGGAATCTGCCATTTCTCCAAGGAACCCTGATTTCTTTCACTGGAGATGGATATTTAGAAACCAAGATTTGAGTACTAGATACGCTCATTGGTATTAGAGTGTTGCTGCTCCCAGACTCCCTAGTGGACCAAGCAAGGAAGTATATTTGTATATATACACGTACATACCTGCATATACATATACATAACACATTTTGCATTTATATTGATTTGTATATCAGTGTATTTGTTGGAAACTATGAGTTCACAGCAATACCTTCCATTCCATCCAAGTTCTCTCCTTTCCATATGTATAAGTTCCTGCTCTGATAGTAAGAAACCTGACTTGCATTCACCTTAGTCTATGGCCTTATTTGGCCAACTCCCCCCATATGTAACCATACTTCTATCACCCCCTTTCTCAAGCACATACTGTCCTCACCCCAGGAGGGCTCTGACAGACCCCTCTGAGAATATTTTGCACACACTCTGTGAAGTGTAGCTCCTAGTTTAATAGTCTGCTCTGAATATTGAGATCTAATATATCCATGAGGAGGGTGAGTTATAGTTTTATATATATTCAATTAATAGGTTTAGATACAATTTTATAGACTTGGATAATTTTTCTGGTAGGTTATTTTAGTCAAATAAATCAAAGAGTAAGAGAGAATCGTTTATTATAAAATATTACTATTAGCTAGTATATAAATATATGTGTATATTTTAGAGATTAAAAACATAAAAAAGAGAGAACTTATACCCACTGCTCAGTTTAAGGAATATAGTATCACCGATACTTTGAAGCTACTTATGTGCCATTCTCTGTAGTATTCTCCCTCCTGAGCCACTCTCCAGCATTGTGCGTTCATTATTCTGTAATAGCTTTTTTATTAATCTTTTGTAGATTGCTGTTGTGGCTGTGATGTGCAAACCCCACAGATGCCCACATATCAGTTTTACAGGAAACATATGTGTGTAAGTATGATTATTTTCTTAAAGTGTGTGTATGTGTACTTTAATTGAATTAGCTAACTCCCTAGAGCCTTAATCAGTGTATGCTGGTAATATTTAAAACTTTGATTCAGTAGATGCATAAGTTCTTTGAAACAAGCAGCCATTGATAGGATGTTTCAGTGCTTTAAAACTGAAATACATAAAGATTTTAATGTGTTGCAGTAAACAATAAAAAATACATTGTTACAGAAAGTAAAAGTCTATTAACATGATAAATGAAACAAGGAAATGTAAGCTGCCTAAATGCTAAATGTCAGAAATTCAAAATGAGTTTGGATCAGAAAAGAATCAAAATTAAAAAGTTATCCCTATAAATAACCTTTAAACTTCTTAAATATAGATAATTGGGAAAAATAGGCAGAATGAATGATTCTAGGTAGGAAGATTAAATGAGAGAAAGATTTTCTTAAGTATTTAGTTACCAAGAGAACACTGTATCATTCTAAACCTAGGAGAAGTTAGGTGCTGTTACTTGCGCCTAAAAGTGTAAATCTCTACAATAATAGTGACTGCAGTATTCTGAAAATGACTACTATAATGTTCCTCATATGTTTATTGTGTTTACTTGTTAGTAGAAAATATATTAATTGTAGATACTGTAAAGGTAGACTCTTCGATTAGGATTTGAAAATGAAGCTTGTTTGCTCTCAGAATTTTGTGGAGACTGCAGATACTTGAACTATACCCATTGAACTAAGTTTTGTGTCTGACATCTTCATTCTTTGGTGTATTGGCAGATACTGCCCTGGTGGACCTGATTCAGATTTTGAATATTCAACCCAATCTTATACTGGATATGAGGTAAAATAATGTGAGATTATCTTGAGGATGTTTGACATCATACTTTACTTGTAGTGTGCCTCCTACAAGTACTGGCTTTCCTAAATTATTTTTATTTTTTATTTTTCTCCTGATTACAGAAGTTGTTCATTCATCAAATATTTCCTGAGCGTCTACATATATTTCTCTGGTCACTGGAAAAATACATAAGCACTTGTTCTTATTATATGTCAAACTTTCTAAGTCTTTACAACTTTAAACCTTACAGCAGCATCTTGAAGGCAGGCACTATTATCCTGGTTTTGTGAATAAGGAAACCAGCTTTAAAGGCCCTAAACAACTGGCCCAGAGATACACTGCTAATAAGTGACAGAGCCCGGTTTTGAATTCTTTGTTCCTCACCATGACATTATACCGCTTCTTCAACAGTGAAACATCGACAAATTCCCTAATCTTATGGAATTACATTCTAATAATAAGAGGTAGACAATGAAGAAATAAGAAGAAAATATCCAGTACTACCAGTAAATGCTAAGCAAAGAAGTAAAATTGAGTTAGGTTTGTATAAACCAAGTAGATGCTTTAGCCCTGGTAGTTAGGAAGTGACTGAGAAGGTGATATTTAAACGGAGTCCTGAATGACAAGAAGGAGCCATACAGGAATATCAGCAGAGAGAAGGGCTAGAACAAGGAGCCATGGTGGGAACAATGATGGGGTGTTCCAGGAAATAGAGGGGAAGGAGAAGGATGAGACTGGAGAGGTAGAGGACATAGGCTGTAAGCTGGGCAGATAGTTTAGATTTTATTATAGGTGTCATGAGAAGCCATTAAGGTTGAAGCAGTATAGGGTTTTAAAAGGTCATTTGATGGCTGTGTGGGTAAAGGATTAGAGTGGGGGCAAGAGTGCAAGTAAGAGAACAGCAAGTAGGCTTCTTTTGAAGCAGTCAGCCTCTTTGAAAGAGGTCAGCAGCCAGCAAACCTTTGGACTTTTTCTCTTATATATGGTATTTCACTTTTTACCTGTTTTCCATAGTTCACATTTTTAAAAATACAAAAGGAATTATTCAGTGAAAAGGCTCCCTCCCGTTTCTGTCCCTTAGCCACCTCTTTCTGCTCCAGCAGAAAGTGACCCTGGAGATTTCATAAGTGTTTACACAAAGATAAGTATGATTCAAGGAGTTGCCCTGCTGTTCAGATGCTTAAGACGGTGGGGATGGAGACTAGCCAGATGCTATTCAGAACATTATTTTGATCCCTAAACTGAGGAAGGAAGGTGCACAAGAGAATTTTATTTTTAATATAATCCTTTTGAACTACTTTTTATTTTCTATTCAGTGTGGGCTCAGCAGGAGAATTTTATCTTTTTTTCTTAGCCAACCTCCATGCGAGCTATCCGTGCTAGATATGACCCTTATCTACAGACAAGACACCGAATAGAACAGGTAAGTTTTTAAAAAGCATTTTTAAATTAGATTTTTGTACATAGTTAGAAGGTATTATTGTTTAATTTGAGTTGAACCTGAAATAACTAAAAGAGTGCCTTTCTCCTTGGTAAGTTTTTAATATCCATCTGAGAAAGACTGTTTTGCAATACCCAGCAAGGTCAAAAGCACTACTTTCTTTAGAGACTATTATTTTCTTTAAGGGTTTTTATATTCTTTAAATTTCTTTCAACTTGTACAGACTCATTAACTATGTGAAATTTATAGATGGAGATGTGAGGAAGGTTTTAAACAATAGGTAGATGGATTGAATTTTCACCTCCATGAGCCAGATAAGAGGTATTGTGACTGGCCTGCCAGAGTGGGAATTGGGAATTGGCTGCCAAAGGGTGTGAGGACCTCTTGGGGGTCCTGGGTTTGCTCTGTATCATGACTGCGGTGGGAGTTACACAACCGTAAACACTCATCCAGTTGTACACTTAATTACCTTGATTTTATTGTATGTAAATTATACTTCCTTATAACTGATTAAAAACAAGTACTGTGTAAATGGCCTTGCTCTCTTTCAGAAATCTGACCAGTAATACAGATTTTCTTTTTTACACTTTTATTTTAAACTTGTCCAATTTAAAAAAGTGTGAGTACCATCTGTAATTTTTACAGTTAACAACACCTAGTAGGGCAACTACAAATCAAAAGGAAAGTAGTACATACCACAGTCATTAAGTCACTTCTCTGTTCATTTAGCTAGTATCATTGAATACCAGCAAGTTCACAGTTTCACTTCACTGTCACCCAAGCACATGCGGATCAGGATTGTCAGCAATAGAAGAGGGCCTCACCTGGGTGCAGCCTGTATAGTCTAGAAAACCATGTTCTAAACTAACCATTGCTTCAATTTCTTTTTTAGCCATGATATTTAATTCATTTAAAATGCTTCAGTAGAGTGTAAAATGTTTATGTTTACCAAAAATATATGTATGGATATGCGTGTGTATATATGAATACAATTACGTGCAGAAAGATACATGCATGTATAAATTTTTATTTGCCATTGTCAGAAACAAACATTTTAAAAGGTGCCTTTTCGTCCATATTAAGTGTAGACATCCTTTACGTAGCACATTAATTAATTTGAGTTCATAGTTTAGTAGTCTACTTGACCCAGTTTTTGTCAAGCCTGAGATAGGGCAAGAAATATTTCTTTTAATTGAAGAGTGGTTGACACAGTGTTATATTAGTTTCAAGTGTACAGCATAGTGGTTCAACACATCTGTTAACCTGTGCTCACCACAGGTGTAGCTATTGTCAGTCACCATGCTGTGCTGCTACAGTATCATTGACTGTATTTCCTATGCTGTACCTTTTATTCGTGTGATTTGTTCATTCCATAACTGGATTTATTCATTCCATAATTTATTCATTTTTACATCTCCTGCCCTTTACCCATTTTGCCCATCCCCTCCTCCACTTAACCTTCTCACAACCATCATTGTGTTCTCTGCATTTATAGGTCTTTCGGCCTTTTATCTGTTTCTGTTTTTTAGATTCCGCATATAAATGAAATCATATGTTATTTATTTTTCTCTGTCTTATTTCATTTAGCATAATACCCTCTAGTTGCATCCATATTGTAAATGGCAAGATCTCGTCCTTTTTTTAATGGCTGAGTTATATTCCATTGTGTGTGTATACACACACTGCATCTTCTTTATCCATTTGTGTCTCAGTGAACACTTGGGTTGCTTTCACATCTTGAATATTGTAAATAGTGCTGCAGTAAACATGGGGCGCATGTATCTTTTCAAATTAGTGTTTTTATTTTCTTTGGGTAGATACCCAATGGTGTAATTATTGGATCATGTATTTCTATTTTTAATTTTTTGAGGAGTCTAAGAAATTTATACCTGTTTTTAAAATTTATAATCTTGGCTTATTATAGTTGGCAAAATGAAAAATCTGTACCATTCTCTCTAGTAATAGACATAATATTCTATAGTTTATGAGCTAGATTTTTATTTTGCTTTTTCTCCAGAAAGCATTGTCACCTGTGCTCGTAATCATCACAACTGATTTAAAAGTGCATTCTTAATTTTTGTTTCTAATTTGGTGTTCTTTTTCTTCATTGGCATCAAGCCCTGGTTATGTTGCATACAGTTATTGTTTTTGTTCCCAAGGCTTATCACAAAGGTCTGACAAAAAAATATATGATCAACAAATATTTATTTATTATGTTGCATATTGTATATTTGTCCTTACTGCTTTCTACTTTATATTCCATGTTCTTAAATTTCCACATAGGTATTGATGTCAAGCTTCTTATTTATTGTTTTAATTCTTACTTTGCCTCCTCGAGGTATAATTATTTTTCTTTCAGATTCTGGAGTCTATTTTTTTAATTCAAAAATTTGCTACATATGTTTGTTTTTCATTTTTTAACTATGCAGATGAAAACACCACAAAATAAAATTAGAAATTTGTAGTGCCTCCTTAAGGTAGTTGACTATATCCATCTAACGCTGATGAATTTATATGTATTTCAGTTAAAACAACTTGGTCACAGTGTGGATAAAGTGGAGTTTATTGTGATGGGTGGAACGTTTATGGCCCTTCCAGAAGAATACAGAGATTATTTTATTCGAAATTTACACGATGCCTTATCAGGACACACCTCCAACAGTATTTACGAGGCAGTCAAGTAAGAAATCCTATTTTACCACATTCTGCAGAGTGCTTGTCAGTTTATCCTCTGAACCTCAGCCTGCAAGAATTCCTTCTGCTCCACATCTACATTCCTAGTTCCTTTTATGGAGGGGGGAGGAGGACGGGTAAAGGGCATTTTGTTATTTTTATTTGTATATTTTTGATGGGTTATAATTAAATACATTTTCTGGTTTTATTGAGATATAATTGACATACAGCATGGTAAAAGTTTATGGTGTACAGCATAATGACTTACATATATGTTGTGAAATGGTTACCACAGTCACTTTCACATCCATCACGGTTACATCCATCATCCTACATGTTCCTAGTTCTCATAGTTACTTCTGTTTTGTGGGAAAGGATTGTTTTCATTGATGTAGTTAATAGTTTTTTTTTAATAAGTGACCGTTGATTTGTTGACATTAGTTTCTCTGAGAAAAAGTGATTCATAAAATCACTATAAAGATTTTTTTCAACCTTAGGCTGGTCTAAAGTAGAGGAATAGTTTTGATTTGACCAGTTGAGTTTTCAGCCTCCTAATAAGAACACTAGGGGTACACTTTGTCTGAAACATTTAGCTGCCATGCAATCAAAACAAGTTATCTTTTAATAGCTATTATTACTAACTACTAAATAATTGCTGTTTATGAAGGAAATCACTTATTCATTCTAGTTGACAAAACAAAATTATGCATTCTTTTGATACTGTGTATCTGTTTTTAGCGAAAAGAATATTAAGGTTTCACATATAGTATTTTCAGAAGTTTCAGGAAAACTTAGTTACCATATACTGCTCCCTTCTTACTTACCACTGAAAGTTTATGGAAGGCCCACGAGGGGCTGTGCACTGCTTTAGGCACTGGGAACAGCATGTGGAACAAGACAGCTGTTGTCCTTGGCTTTGTGGTGTTTATTTCTACTAGTTCAACAGATAGGAAGTACTCTGGTGGAGATCGATTACTATGATAGACATTAAGATTTTTCTCTAGACGAGGCAGTAATGTTTAAGCTGAGACCCAAAGTATATAAGGAGGAATCAGGCTAAGAGCAGAAAAAAATATGACAAAAGCACTGAAATGGGGAAGATCTTGGTGTCTTCTCTGAACAGAGAGAGAGGAGGCCAGTGTGACTAGATTCCAGTGAAAAAGGAGAGAATGTCATAGGTGAGCTTGAAGAGTTAAGTCGGGGCCAGAGGACAGAATGCTTTTGAGGAGCTTAAGTTTTATTTGAAATGTAGTGGGAAGTAGATGAATGGTTTTAAGCAGGAGAGTGACACATTCAGGTTGATAAGAAGGTCATTCTGTCTATTGTCTGGCTAATGGATTAGCGGAGTACAAGAGTGAAAGTGAGGAGCCAGATAAAAGACTGTTATACCCATCATAGGTCAGTTGAGGGTGGTGGCAGTGATGATGGAGAAGAGAGGATGGATTAGAGTTCTGTTTTGTTGTTGCAAATGATTGGATTTTGGACTGGGCTGGGGGGTAAGAAAGGAAGGAATCAAAGACGACTCTTAGCTTTTGGTTGTAGGAAATGGTTGATGTACCCTCAGATGGAAAAGACACGGAAGAACAGGTGTATGGGAGAAAATCAAGATTTTTACTTTGGATATGTTAAATTTGAAATGCCTAGGAAATGTTCAAGTGGAGATGTCAGGTAGCATGTACAAGAGACATCCGGGCTAGCAATGCAAAATTGGAATTGTCAGTCCATAGGTGGCATTTATAGCCATGCAAGTGGATAAGATCACCTCATATGGGAGAGTTGTTTCAAGTTTTATATGTGAAAAAGCAATTTTTAGAGCAATTCTTACAGTGTGGATCCATCATATTTGTGTACCTGCACATAAATGTAAATGCATAGAAAAGTACATAAATGCATAGAAAATGTGAATGCATGGAAGAGGTGGTAGAGTGACAATTATTATAGTCATGAGCTCAAGCTGAGGAGGAAAGGACATGGGAGATGGGGATAAAGGAGCACATTCATGTTTATTCTGTATACTATGTGCTGGGCATTATGATACGTATTTATTCATTTATTTAAAACTCACAGTAAGTAGTTGAGTTCAGTATTTAAATTATCCCTGTTTTACAAGTGAGGAAATCAAGGCGCAGAGAGATTAAGCAATTTGCCAGTTACAAAGGTAGAGTCAGGCTGTGAAGCCCAGACAGCTTTGCTTTCAGAGCCTGAACTTTGCTATGATGCAAGAAACTATGGTAGGCATAAAAGTGTATGAGAGTGTGTGTCTGTGCATGTATGAGCACATGTGTGTACATCGTCAGAGCTTCAAAATTTTGGAAAAAATATGATCTTTCTGGGTTTTATCTTTTGCATTCCTCCTCCTGCCTTAAGGATATTTTCTGGCTTCTCTTTTATATTGGGGAGGGAGGGTCATATAGCTAATTGCAAGATTGTTTAAAATAGTGCCCCTCTTAGAGAACTTTTTGTAGGGTGATAGGTAGAACCAATGTTTGAATGAACCTTTGGTAGGTTCATTACACTCAACTACTAAGGTTAGTTTTCATTACACTGAAATTAAAATAGTTCTTGGCACATAGTAGCCATAAGTAAATGTCTGAATGAATTTTGAATGAATGATCAATCTCTAAGTCAAATACTGATGGATATGACTTAGATAGGGCATCTGCTTTAGAATAGGGACATCTTGGGGCGCCTGGGTGGCTTAGTCGGTTAAGCGTCCGACTTTCGCTTAGGTCATGATCTCGCGGTTCGTGGGTTCGAGCCCCATGTCGGGCTCTGTGCTGACTGCCAGCTCAGAGCCTGGAGCCTGTTTCAGTCTGTGACTCCCTCTCTCTCTGACCCTCCCCTGCTCACGCTGTCTGTCTCTCTCCTAGAAATAAATAAAACATTAAAAAAAAAATCCATGGTGGTCTTTAAAAAAAAAAAAAAGAATAGGGACATCTTTTGTGTCCTTCCCACCTCCTCTATCAATACCTGTAGCTGTCACGTGTATCTTGAGAGACCTGTGTAAAGAGTCGAGCAGAGTGTGTGTGAGAAACCTGCTTTGTTTGACTGCCTCTAGAGAATTTGTTAGGTTAATTGTATGTCCATGAATCTAGTTTTTAGCAACAGCTGGCTGGTGTGATTTCTTCCTCCTCCAGGAGCTTTATTAGCAAGGTAAGATGGTGACCATACTTTTTTGTTTTTTTGTTTATATTTGGGGGGGGGAGAGAGAGAAAGAGAGAGAGAGAGAATGAATGAAAATCCCAAGCAGGCTCTGGGCTTCTAACTCATGAACCATGAGATTATGATCTGAACTGAAGTCAAGAGTCAGGTGCTTAACTGACTAAGCCACCCAGGCACCCCTAAACATCAAAACCTTGATTATTCATGAATATAAGTCATACTTAGTAAAACACTGAAGTCTTTAAAACTTTAGAGGAATAATGATGTAACACAACCCAGTAATAATACTGAAAATCAAATGATAACTTAATATAAAATGCAATTTGAGAGAAAACAACTTTCATTAGTTCAAAGCCCCATGACGTTGAAATGACAACAGTACCTCAGAGTTACTGACTAAAATTCATTTAACTCTCCTGGTGAGATAATCTATCAAGACCATTGAATTTTTGTACCCACTCTTATATATTATATACTGTTTTCTCAGTGCAGCTCTTATCGTGTTGAAGACCCTGCTTATTTTTTTAAATGTTTATTTTTGAGAGAGAGTGTGTTTGTGTGTGTATGCAAACAGGGGAGGGGCAGAGAGAGAGAGGGAGATAGAGAATCCAAATCAGGCTCCACACTGCCCATGCAAGCCCACTATGGGGCTTGAACTCATGAATCATGAGATCATAGCCTGAGCCAATCATAGATTAACCGACTGACCCACCCAGGTACCCTGAAGACCTTGCTTCGTAAGTGGAATTGTATATGCATATGTTGGACTTGCCCCACCCTCCCAACCCCCGTAAAAGTTTGCCACAAAGCTTTTCACAGTGTACAGTTTGGGTCCCTGGATCAGATGAGCTAGGCTAAAACTGAAGATGTATCTAATGAATTTTTAGAATATAGATAGCTTGACATCTTTATCATTTGCAACTTTAAAATTTTTGCTTATTCTTGGTGTGAAGTTTTAGTTTTATTTTTACAGAAATGTTCTAGTGTCTTTTGTTGTTGTCTGTTGTTGGGGTAAAAATAGAGTTTATGTTATAACTATTCAGCTTCAGATCATGATATGTTTGTAGAAAAAGCCAAAAAGCCTGTTGGAGAATAAAGCCCCTTTCTGTAATGTACTAGGCAAGGCCAGCGTTGTTTTGTTTCTATTCTTGAATTTACCTCAAGAGGGCAACAAACACTTTACTTTCAGATGAAAATTTATATATGATTTGAGTCTTTGTTGCAACAGATCTCATGAATGACTCTTGGGAAGCAATAAATGTACAATCTGGGAGCCGTAAAACCATCCATAAATGTTACACCAAATCATGCCAACCCACACTTGACACGTTTTGCTCTTTTCTCCTGATCTCTATATTTTTATAAGATAATCTGAAAAGAAGCTGATTTGTGGCATCTTGTTTGCTTTGTTGAGGTAAATTTTTACTGCCAACTCCCTACAATAAAGGTGGTATTTCGTTTTTAGGGGAACGTTGTTAATAAAGTTCAAAGGAATAGTAATCTGGTTTGTACTATAGAACTAGAGACATAGCAAACCATTTCCAAATGTTAACATTTTGTGAAATAAAGAGCAACACAGAGATACTATGTTTTGTACATCATGTGTTTTCTTCAGGATTTTTGGATGAGATCTTTACCTTGCCATTCTTTATATTATCTTGCACTGAGGGTATTTGTGAAGACTGTTTGGGTCACCCAGTGTGGGTGACTTTTTTCAGATATAAAGTAATGAACTTCATTTTTATTTTAGTATTGATATTAGTTGTTTGTACTTGTTGACTACACAGATGTTTTCAGAGGTTTTTATTTAAAAGGTTAATTTTAAATTAGGTTAAAAACTACACA